TGCGACCAAGGCCCCCAGTCTACGACGATGGCCCCACGGGCCCCGATGCTGAGGACGCTGTTGATGAGACGCCCGACGTGGACCCGGAGCTGCTGAGGTGCCCGGCAATGGGCAAGGAGGGGGCGGGCGCCTGGGTCTGGAGTGGACTAGGGGCTGGGTGGCCTGCTTCACCCAGCAGAAGTTCTGGGGCTCCAGGAGAGACTGAGATCCCAGATCCAGGGGGCAAAGATGCCTAGCAGGGCGGACTATGGGAGAGGAGACTCCTGGTCCTGGGGAGGGGGAAGCCCTGATTCCTGGTGTCTGCCGGGAGGAGGAGGCAGGGAAGCCGAAGTTTCTGGGATGAGAGGCTGGGACATCTGTAGAAAGCAGTGGGTTGGGGACGCCCGAGGTGGGGGGGGGGTTGTTTTGTTGGGCCGGGCCGTCTGGGTTTCACTGCGCTCTTCCTGGCCCTGCAGGTACTTGCTGGGACGGATCCTGGCGGGAAGCACGGACCAGGAGACCGTAGCCGCCCCGCGCCGCCTCCGCCGCGCCACAGATCAGGATCTGAGTCCTGAGGTGCCCCCTGAGGGCGTGCTAGGGGCGCTGCTGCGTGTGAAACGCTTGGAGACGCCCGCGTCCCAGGCTCCGGGGCGCCGCCTTTTGCCGCCCTGAGCAGTGCCCGGATCCAGTACGCCCTAGGACCGCCCTCCCCCCTCTCCTTTCCCTCTGATCTCGGGACTGCTCCCCACCAGCACGTTGAGAGCAGCTAACCCCAGCCAGCCCTTTGGCTACCTCCATCCCTGATTCCGACCCCCTGGCTCCACAATAAACTCGCTCTGAAGCAGCTGTTTTGCCTCTGTTGAGTGGCAACTTGTAGGGCTGGTGGGCTTGACAGTGGTGGTAGCACTTACTGGAGGGCAGAGGGGGCCCTGCCCTGGGTGCCTGCTCAGCCTATGCCTCACCTCACTGAGAGAGGCATCCATAGGGACATGGCAGTGCCCACCAATCTTGTCCCCACTTACAGACCTTACTACGGAATAGGGTGCGCAGAGACAGGCCACTTTCAGGGCCTGCACCCCAGCATTTTCCCGGGTCCAAGGGGCAAAGGGTGGCTGTATAAAGTGTGAATAGAGCTCCCATTTGCTGGCTGGTACACCACAGGCACACATATGCCTTCTGGTGTGGATACAGGAAGAGGGAGTGGGGGGCAGGAGGGGACTCAGCCCTCCTAACACTTGTTGAGTTTGGAGACTTGGAGCCTGGATGTCAGGGTCATTAAGAAAGCTTATTTGGTGGGACCAGCAGTTAGTGTAAGGGCTATGTTGCTGGACTCCCATGTAGTCGACTGTGGTTCAAGTCCCGGACCCGGTGGCTTGAACTCATGCTGGGCATGTGTGCGTGGAGGATTGTGGTGTGGCCATCCCCCCTGGGGGGTGATTTCTCGCTTTCTGTCTCTGTCTGGCTGGCGAGCTCAGATGCCCTATAGCAAAAACCTCTTAAAAAGAAAAAAAAAAGAGAAAGCTTATTTGGGGGCCAGCAAGTGGTGTGGTTAAGGGGCCCGACTACCATGTGGCTGTCCAACACAGTTTGAGTTGGCAGCTTGAAAATCACACCAGCTGAGTGTGTGTGTGACTGCCCAAAATCCTGAGAAGAGAATGGAGAAGGAACAGGGATTGTGGCATGGCCATTCTCCCAGGGGTGATTTCCCACTTTCCCTTTGTTACTCTCCAGCGAGTACATGCACCCTATGGCAACAAAACTTTAAAAAAAAAAAGCATTTGTCAAGGTGAGAAGGGAGGATGTATTTTGT